TACAAATCGTGATTTCCCTTCGTGACGGCAAAAATAATGTTAGCCTTACGCTCTTTGATCATTTGATGAAGTAATGCGATGGAGGGGTAGTCCTGAAATCCACTTCACTGAGTAGGAGTCAATTTTTTGCGAAGTGACTCCCAAAACATCTACCAATGATGAACAAAGCCTATTATCTTGTCCAGTTCTAGTCATACTTTACTATGAAGGTCAGCAGTAACTTACCTGCTTCAGAGTTTCCGTGTAGTAACCCTCTCGGTCAAGATGGCATTCGCCGTCATTCGGTTCAACCACACCAGCGAGCTTAAAGAAATTACACCATTTAGTTATTCTAACCAGCACATCGAATTGAAAAAGGCTTACCCTGCCATCACCAGCAAAATGGAAGCCTGCATCTGTAGAGAAAACGAGCATTTTACGAGCACGCTCTCGCCAACCAATTTTCTGCTGAAATTGATGTAATAATGTGAAATCCGATTATCGATAGTTTCATCATCACTTGTGAATGAACGACTCACACTGCACGCTAGAGCCTGTACTACTGCATCGAACCCACCCTCTGGAGCATCGAGGTTACCAGAAATTTCGGCTTTGTCGACTTCCGCCTAAAAGCTCCTCATTTCTAGAAATACTCTTCCAGAGGCACACGTCATAAGTACTCTTTGTACTGTGACTAACCTTGAACTTCTCCGTGTTAGTAGTGAGAGTCATTTGATGCTTGAAACCGTAAGGTTCTGCACACGGCTCCGCACAAGGAGACTTTTGCCTGAAACTACCCTTTGTACTGGGACGTCAGCAGTATAATATTCAATGGGTTATTAGCCTAGCGTGATGGTTGCACTAGTGTTGAATTCAAATGGTGAACAGAGCTATAATAAAAGAATTTAGCGATAGCGCATGCAAGGGGCCGCGTATCTACTCAGAGATTCCGCGGAATCTGCGGAAAAAGAAAGCACACGTAACGATTTGATGGATGCGCCGATTCAGTGGAATCCGCAGAATCCAAAATCGCCAAAGAAGACATGATAGCGACGTTTGTTTACCTCCGCCTCTGGCAGTTTCTTCAAATTCCGCGGAATCTGCGGAAACGCATAGGCTCTACTGAGAAAGATATGTCGTGCGATAGTTTATCGACAATCAATAGCTTAATCAAAGATTCAGGAGATAGATTATCAATCTTGTAAGTCTCCTTCCCCCACCTTTCTAATTGTAAGATTACAAGAATCGATTTAGGAAATAGACGTTTTCCGAGTACCACAAATAATCAAGCAACGACCCACTTTTCAATCCTTGGATCAATAAACGGCATGAGCTTCTTATCGATGAAAGAACCAAATCCTAGGCGGAAGTTCTTCGTTATATTGCGCATGCGGACGGCTGAAAAGGACCACATGATAGTGGATTCATCAAATGGCATAACTGTGGAATGTCTTTGAAGGAGAGCCTACGGAACGATTATCCACCTACCAAGTAAATCTCCAAGCTCAGAAAGTTTCTGCTTGTCATCCTTCATTGAATATGACAAATCCATGAGGTAATAGAGATCAACTGGATAGTCGACAGCTTGGCGGTAAGTGACGTTGAAACGAACACGTGACTCTACAATTGATAAAATTTCAATTTCATGGCAATTACAGAAAAACGTTAGTAGAAAGGTTCCTCTCCTTGCAACCTCTTTCCAGAGTCGCGCATGCTAGTGGACTATAAGTCTTCCTCTGATTTATGTGAGTTTATAGAGATTACAAGCCACGGCTTTTGAGCCGACTGAATGAGCCTGAGCAGCGCCTTCTTCTGAGAGACAAGAAATGGCATTCGCTTTAGGCGGGCGCGGAGACTCCGCCGAGCGCTTATCCCTCTCCTCACCGGCTTTTCTTTTATACAGATAGTCAACAATCTTTGACCAATATGTTCATACGAGTAGTTCACTTATAGTGCACTACATGATTCTTTTATATAGTGAGGTTGTAAACAATCACACATTGACTCAAAGTGATACCAAAACATGTTTTCTTCGGAGGCGACTATCTGCCTAGGGCGCGATTGATCCTTCTCTAATTCAGCTTATCGCTTCATTGGCAGCTTTTATTACCAACCAAACTTGTTGATGAGTATTATACTAAGAACACGCACACTATTGCTTCCGCCTTACCGTACTACTCCTAACACACCGTCACTTGATCCACCCCACCACCCAGCAATTAATAACAACAGCTCCGACATTCCCGCACTTGCCCCACGACCACCCCAATCAACCGGCGCTGCACACGTGCTTACGCGTCCACCTCTGCCAACGCGAGCAGCTCGTGCGTTTGAGAGTGCACTCACTACTGGTCTTCTTATATAGTGCAGGGTGTTATCACAATCAAAACATTGGATTGATACATCTGCACCAACTGGTTTCGCCACCGGCTAGCGGTCGTCGTACACTCTCCTACACTGACGTGTTTGAACCCGTGAAGCATTTTGCGGACGGACAGACATACATACATACCGACAAACCGACACACAGAATTAGTGGTTTATAGAAATGTAAGGATTGGTAGTACTGTTCTTAGGAGTGCGAGTGGGATAGTATAAGTCTAACATTTAACACATGCTCATGTCTTCAAGGAAGACGAGCTCTATGTAACGTCGTTGGCCACAAGGCACAAAGAGAACTATATTGAGCATTTTTTTATCGAAAAGTTTCTCGCTTACTTGGTCTGATTTCAACAAACATTTCTTGCGGCTTCAGCTGAACTGCATCATCTTCGTTCTCAACTTTTCCCTTATCGGAAAGAGGTTCATCCTTAATATTTACAATTAGGAGGACAAAAAGCTGTTGCTTGTAGTACAGTTGCTACAAAAGTTCTGTTAGATACCCTCTCCACTTCGAGAACTGTTTGCGGATCCTCAATGAAAGAGCTGGGACAGCCATGTTCCAAAAGTCGTGCACGATTATCACATCTGGCGTATTGTTTCTTTGCATCGAACAACTGAACAACGAGGGATGAAAAGACATATGAAGAAGCGCTGAACGCAGTTTCCTCCTGTGAGCGAGCGCATTCATACTTTGCGACAGCGTTTTGAGTGCGGCAGTACTTTGAACGTTTCGACCGAATAGAAAAGTATAGGTGTCGAACTAGGGTACGCTAGCGTGCCGGCATACGGCAGCATTTCGAGCGGCTAGGGAAGTGTAGAGAGATCAATCTGGCGCTTCGAGCGTGCGCCAGCGTTTTGAGCGCTTCGCGGGCAGTCGCTTAAAGCGCTGGTACACGCTCGAAACGCTTAAAACGCTGCCGCAAAGTATGAACGCAGCCTGAGAGTTGATAATGGCTTCAAACAAATATTTTTTATAGCTGAACAAAAAAAACCAAAAATTCCTCACTGGAGCTCCGCACCAGGCACAGGAATCGTGCAACTGGATGCAAGCGCTACAAGTGTAATTGTCACGAGATAGCGAGTAGCATGGAAAGTCTTTTCTTCCTTCAAGGACTTCGCCAGTGACTGAAAAATGTTCTTTATCGGTGGTCGATCATAAAGTTTGAAAAAGGATCGCGAAGATACAAAGAAAATATTTGAAAACGTATCACATATAGGTAGTCGTTCATATAAGAGCCGGCCCATGTTTTTGGAAAACAGCTGAAATGCCAACGTAATCTCGTTATCGCCCGTCAACTAGGTAGGATAGAGAGTATAGTCGGCGCTGACTAGTCCCTTTTCGTTATGCGCCACGTGTTCTATTCCATTCAGAATCGAGGTGACATTTCGAATGCGATGTGGCCTATACAATGGTGTGCGGGGAGGGGCCACCGATGTACAATTCAGCGTTCTTATCCTCCCGGACGAGTCTGGTACCAAGTTACTGTCCCCGAGGGTAGAGGCTTGGTTCGCCTAGGCGGAAGCCAATTCGGATATAATAGACTTCACAACGGGTTCTGCTCAGTCGACATACGCGCCTGACTCTAACTGAAGACCAAGCGAAACACAAGTGCTAAGGCACGTTAACAGAGGTGTTTTTGATCTGCATGAATAACGTCAAAAGGTGCGTGGATGAATACTGGTGGATGTTAAGGTGCTTAGACGTGCATTTGGTATTTAATCTCTGGAATGCGCAGCGCAAGGTGTCTTTTAATGTTTAATGTTTGTGATCTCGTCGGCACTCCATGGCCAGCAGAAGCTCGCACAAACTAGACCAGTATTTCTTAATTAGGACTAACAATGAAACAGTTCACGCTTAATCAATCTAACCCTAGTGTGCACATGATCCCGCCTGAACGCCCTTTTGTCGTCC